TCTCCTCAGACAATAGCAGTAGCAGCGGCATGAGTATTAAATTATAGTATATTCTTTTTATGTGAAAATAATATGCCTTTACAAATTCTTGCAAAGGTTCCATTAATAGGAAAGCATTAAATACGAGGTTGGCAATCTAATCAACTGTATATTCTTTTATTTAAATTATACAAGATTGATTAATATAGAATATTGTTCAACCTTATCCAGTTTTTTGAATCATTGTTGACCTGAATGTTCAATTATTATTATTATTATTATTATTATTATTATAAGCAAATAAACTATTACATATATTTGATGGACGTTAGAACATTTCATAATAAACTGTCAATTTCCGTAATCCAGTTAGTTGTTTAACCAACTGAATTTAAAACATATAAAGAAATTCAAATAATAATGTTTAATAAAGTAAAACAACAATTAAATATAATCAAAATTTATAGATTCGTGAATGTGATTGCAATTATGGTTAAATTATTATAAAATCAATTAATATTACTATGCTTATAGCATCTATGAAGAAAAAGTGGCAGAATATTTACTAACAGAAATGCAATAATAGTTCACAGAGAAAATGTGAAATTGAGCCAATTTTATCATTGAAGAGTCAACTCCTATAACCTAATTAGTGACTACCATCTATATAAAGGATTTTTTTAATAAATAAACATTTAATAAACAACTACTAATAGTACGAATTAATTTGTCTCGGTAGTTGAAAGAATCGTTGTTGTTCCTAGAGGTTACGGGTTCAAGCACCAACGACTTCAGCGGGGTGATTGAGAGTTCATTGTCAAATAACGGAGAATATTTAGAACAAATACTACTTTGTAATCACTTTAGTTTAATCAAAATAAATAAATAAACAGCTGCTAATGTTATATATAAAAACTGAAAAGAAAGTTAAATAATTTTGTCATTTACCAGCTGTGAAGTACTAATAAAATGCTGTGTGTTTTATTTCAAAAAACTAAAATTCAATTCTTAGCAATCTTAATTAAATAAAAATAACTTTTTTTAATATGCCGAGTTACCCATATTTCCTCCTTGAAGATCCAAAACCCTTGCAAAAATATGATAATAAAATTCTAGGGGGGAAAAGCTTATACGTAAGGATGAAAATAGAGTGGGGGCAGAAACGGGGATCGTCCGATCTGCATCTTATGTACAGTTGAGTAAGAATATAAATGATTAAATTGTTAACAGTTGGTATAACGTTTATTTATGTTTGTTTACTAAATTAAATAAACGAATATAAATAAAAATTTTATGTTTATTTAATAAATGAATGAACACGAATAAACATGTGTTCGGTTCATTTATGTTCACGAATAAATTCGATTGTTGGTTTGTTTATAAGCTTGTTTACCTGGTTCTCATTTTCTTTTTATTTATTTTACATTTTAAATATTGGTAAAGATAAGGACTAAATTGAATATCGGGTAAACTTTAGAGTTTAAACTGTGAATTGTAAAGAGCTTAAGGTCTTGTGAGTTAATTTCATCATTTTGAAGAACATGTTCACGATCACTAAATGAATATGTTAGAAAACGATAAATAAATATGTTAGCAAACGCTAAATGTATGTTTCGTGAATATATAATTGAACATGTTTGTGAATGCTAAATGAACAGAATACAAACACCTTAAAAAAAGTATGAACATGTTATTAAAAATTTAAATGAGCATGAACAGAATATGAACGTATTAAAAAATAAACAAATGAATATAAACATAATTTTATTAGTTGATGCTTGATTCATTTACACCCCTACTTTTGAGTGAATGTTAAAAGTATCCACATTTGACCGGATCAATCTTTCATGGTTGTCACAAACCAAACGACCTCGGTAATAAAAGAATTATTATTATTTCTTGAGGTCCCGAGTTCGGGCACCAAAAATACTAAGGATATGAGCGTTTAATGTTAAATGGTTGAGAGTTATATTTGAACAAATACTGTATTATAATTACCCTAGATTAATAAAAATAAAATCTTTCACGGTGAAACTTTCTGTACTTATCACCCCCATAAGGATATTAAATAACAATCATTTGTCTGGTTTATATCTATATCTACTAAGATTACATTTAAATAACAGTGAGATGATAGATCCAAGGTCAAATGCAAAGTCACCATCAATCTCTTGCAGAAGAAACATTGAATATTAAGCCAGTTCAAATGAGTTTTATTAGTTTAGTGGAACCGTACATCAATTGGAGGAAATTTGTTAAATCTCTCAGGACAGGCCATAAAAATACTAAGGAAAGTCAGCTTTGAGATATATAAGGTAAGCTTAGAATCAAGGAAGTCGGAGATTATGAAATGTAGAGAAAAATGGAGAAAAGGTCGGATTTAAGGTCTGCCATTGAAGAGCTGTCCACTTTACCCAAAGTTGAAGCAGCACCCGGAAATCTCGATGCTGCTCCTATCCCAACCAAGCCCTTTCCTCATGTCTGCAACTTGATTCTTCAAGTTCTCGGACAGTTTCTTCTTCTTCTTCTTCTTCCACTTCCCGACATGTGGGTCTGATCTATTTCTTTGTTCAAACAAGATAGGTCCAACTATTGCTGTCCTTCGACAAGACATTCATCAAAACATCCAGGTTTAAATGAATTCATAGCATGTACACAGTAGATGAATCTTCTTCCTATTTTTCCATTTAATGTGTCCATTTTTTCAGAGATTGGAGGTTCTTTGTGAATCCAATCCGACGAAGTATTCCAATATGATTGAGATATTGAAAAACGAAGACAGTGAAGGCAATGCTAGAGATTCCACCAGCTGCAGTAGAGCCATTCTCTGGCTTACCAGGTAAATCAATTAATTGAGCATAAGAAAACCCTAAAAGATCTGTTTAATGAAAAGCAATCATCAGAGTTTGTTTCCCTTTTCAGGTCAATCGATTTCATGGTGGTTTTGTTACAAAGATTGGTGAAGGATCCATGGCAGGAAATGGAAAGAGCAGTTGAAGAATCTTATAATGTTACTCTGAAGCAATGGCATGGATGGGTTTCAACGGCTGCTTTTAAGGTATTTATATCAAAACGTAACCGATATGAGGATCTTTCCTGTCAAATCATTAAAAATAAAATATTTGAATCGATTAATATGGTAAAATTCTTAAATCTTTTTGGTTTTGATCTTTCAAAAATATATGTTTTATCTCATTGTGAATGAACGGGAAATTTGCAGATAAGTCTCAAGTATTATAACACTGCTCGTCTTCATCAAGAACTAGCACATCTGAATGTTGCAGGTGGCGCTAAAACTCGTCCCCGACAACGAAACATTCTTCACTCTCATCAAAAATGATCAAAACTGGGACAACCTTAGAGAGGATATGCAGACCTTGGTTTCATTACTTGTTCCTTTTCTAGAACATATCCACTCCACCATGGTGAGAATATCTGTCAATTTCTCCTACTTTCCCATTTCTAATTCGCTATTCCATGCCAATTTTTTGATAGTTCGAATTCAATGCGACACAAATAAATTAAAAAATAAATGGCACAAACTAATAAATTGATATTAGGGGTTTTCTTCTTCGTATTAATGAAATCATCCTCCTGTGTACGTGGTTTTCGAACGATAAATCTTGATTTTATTTCTTTTATGATGGTTATTATCGTGGTTTCATCGTAACATGCAGGGAGCTTATCGAGTGGACCGGTTGAAGTCTACCTGAGGAGAATATATGGGGATCAAGAAGGGAAGGACAAACAGACGGAGCGTTGAAGTTGTAGCAGCTGCTTTCTCTAATGTATATAGACATCTAATACACAGAGGGTTCCCTAATCAGAACTTCCATTCCACTTTATACCATGGAACAACGGAAATTACAAGTTTTTCATTTTTCAATGCCCATCTACAAAATGGTTGATGGTATTTGACCCTAAATGCTTTTCCTCTTTGCAGTGGTACGTATTTCCAGATTGTTTTTCCTCTTTGTAATAATATATATTTCTAAAATGTTTGAAATTTTAGTTGAAGAAAGTATGGAAAGACCATAAAATACAAATCATATATTTATAAAAATACAATGATAATTTGTTTTTTTAATAATTAAAAACTATTTTAAAAGGCTAATAAAACTATTTTCACGATATAAATATATAAATTTAATATTTTACTTAATGTCAATCAACTCACTTGCGAAAATACCCAGAAATCAAAGTATAAAACGAAAAATAGTATAAATGCATAAGGTTTATTATTAAATTTTATCGATATACTGATAATTTTTTAAAATAAATTATTTTTATAAAATAATTATTTTTGATAAATTTTAAATTGATGAGATAGATATTATTCACACATACGTGTCTCAAATAGTAGTATTCATTAAAGAATTTAGTGGTTTAGTAGTTAGAAAATAGGAGATATTTATGTGATCAAAACGTTAACCTTTATTAGAGATTTAATGCTTGGATGACCAAAACGTTAACCTAACCTTTGAGTGAATAAATTGAATTTATTTTTTGGTGACCAAAACCTTAACATCCTAAAAGTTAAGCATTAATATAGTAATTTACCCTATTATATTTGATAATTTAATGTTGAGTAAACTACATGCTTAGTACCCAAGTATTACTTTTGTTCCATTTTGGTCACCAAAATACTTTTTTCAAAATCATATCTAGCATTTAGTTTTGGTTTCATTTTGGTCACCCACGGTTAAAAATTTAACGGTGATGTTGATATATCATTATACAATAATGCTACATCATCATTAAAAAATTAAAAATGTACCACGCTATCATTTTTATTAATGTTCTAATGTTGGGTGATGAAAATGAAACAAAAGCGTAACATTGAGTGTGATTTTGTGAAACAAATTAGTTAGGTAACAAATCAGAATAAAAGTGATAGTTAGGGTGCTAAAAGTGTAGTTTAACCTTTAGTGTTTTGTGGTTCTTACATCACGTTCAGAACTACCCGTAGAATCCCTAAAATACCCTCACCTTCCATCTTTATTTAATTATTCTCAACTACCTTGCTTACTTCTCCTGCAACCAAAGGCTTTGAGTTTGCAAATGTGGGATCTTGAACTGTAAGATTGTTTCTTTCTTATTTTCTTGAGGAAAAAAAATGTGGGATCTTGAACTTCAAGTGTTGTTCATTTCGATTTACTGAATTTTTGTTACTTAGATTTACTTCGTTGGTTCATTTCTGAAATATGATGAACAACTGGATGCTTTTTGGTCAGGAGTGTACATTTCGGAAAAGAATAGTTAAGATGTGGATTAAATTTGAGGTTGAACAGTGTTTATTAAGCAAGTTGAGAGGATTTCATGAAAGGGTTTTCAGTTTTAGCGACAGATTTGTTAAGAGTCAATGGAAGCATAATGTTTGTGAATCAATCAGTTCACTTGTTGTTGTTAGTTTGTTTTTATCCTTCTTTTTGGCAATGGCGTGCACATATTTTTTCCTCTTTCCAAGATATCAACCTGCCGTTCGTACTTACAGAGTTCACCAAGCTGGTGATTTAGTTCCCAAATGCAATGTTTTTAATGGCAATTGGATCCCGGATGAAAGTTATCCTTTATATAATGCTTCACAATGTCCTTTTGCCGAGCGTGGGTTCGATTGCGTGGCGAATGGCCGAAGAGATAGGGGTTTTCAGAAATGGAGGTGGAAGCCTAGAAGCTGTGAAATTCCAAGGTTTGATGTGCACGAGATACTTCAAAAGCTTCGTGGGAAGCGGATTGTTTTCGTTGGGGATTCATTGAGCAGAACACAGTGGGAGTCTATGATATGCATGCTCATGCAGGGAGTGCAGGATAAGAGGAGGGATGTCTTTGAAATTAATGGGAATAAGATCACTAAACGGATTAGATTTTTAGGGGTGTGGTTCAGTTCATACAATTTACGAATAGACTATTATCGGTCGGTTTTCCTAGTGCAGCCTGGTTCGGCACCAAGGCGTGCACCTAAGAGGGTTAAATCGACAGTTAGACTCGACAAGCTGGATGATATGAGCAAGGAGTGGATTGATTCCGATTTCTTGATATTCAATTCAGGTCATTGGTGGACACCAACTAAGCTTTTCGATATGTAAGTTATCTAGCTATCTTTAACTGCTTTTTTGGTTTTCTTTGGTGCAGTTGACATAAATTTCCTGGTTAAAGTTTGGTTGCTTTTTTAGTTCATTTAGTTTTTCAAAGGTTTACTTGCATCTTTTGATGTTCTAAGATCTATGAATCATGCTTACTGATTTGATGCATTAAAACTTAGTCTCTGTGTTCTAATATATTGACAAATCGTGAAGCTGCTCGCCTTGTGCTTTTAGGACTTACATACCAATTCGTGAAGCTGCTCGCCTTGTGCATTAAGGACTAACATACGAATTCGTGAAGCTGCTTGCCTTGTGCTTTTAGGACTAACATACGAATTCGTGAAGCTGCTCGCCTTGTGCTTTTAGGACTAACGTACGAACCTGTATGCGTGATTCTTTTTATGTAGAGATTTCCTAACGGGATTTCTCGGACAGGGGTTGCTATTTTCAGGCAGGTCGATCACTAAAGCTTGGAATGGGGATCACAACTGCCTTTAGAGCTGCATTAAAGACTTGGTCATCTTGGGTTGAGACTTCAGTCGACAGAAACAGAACTAGGGTGTTCTTCCGAACTTTTGAATCTTCGCATTGGACGTAAGCCTTTCTACTTTCCACCAATTTTCTTTTCAATGCTAATATTGCTATGGATCACCCAACAGTAGTGGAAAATTCATTAAGCCAGGAGTTCTCTTGCAATCGTTTAATATCTGGTCGCGCTTGTATAGCTGTGATATATGGAATGTCTGTATGGCATCCTTGTTGCGGATCTTAACTAATGCTAATCCTTGTGCTTGTACCAGAGGTCGAAACCGTAATTCCTGCAAAGTGACTCGACGCCCTTGGTTGAAACCTAAAGGGAAAGACCGTAGCCGAATTTCTGACATTATAATCGATGTCGTGAAGAAAATGACGACTCCCGTGACAGTATTACATGTAACCCCGATGGGGGCTTTCCGTAGCGATGCTCATGTGGGGACTTGGAGCGATAATCGGTCGGTAGCAGATTGCAGCCATTGGTGTCTACCTGGAGTTCCTGATACGTGGAATGAAATTCTGCTATCAATGATGCTCTCCAAGGATGGAATGGAATAACCCTTTTAGTGAATCAGAACATGTAATCCTTTTACTTCGCCATCTGCGCCCCTCTCTGTATCAAGTTGAATAAGATTACTTGCTGTAAACTCCTTGTGACAAAAAATGAATAAAAATTCCATACATTTGTTTATGGTTGTCTTTGCATGATATAATATATACATTCAACATCATCTTCTCACATTGCAATGCCCATACCAATCAACCATAGGGTTATAATCATCTTGTTTTATCTCATGTGGTGGCTTTTTCCTCCTTGCATGCGCCGCACTCGCTCTCTATCGTTTCCTCAAGAGAAAGAAGAAGGTTGAAGAAACAGACCTTGTGAAGAAATATCTTGTAACCCTAACTCAGGACCTTAACCACAATGGTAATTTAGTTTGTACCCAAATACCTTGTGAAGAAATATCTTGTCAGAAGAGTTGGTCAAACAGGCCCTTCCGTTTTCTTAGTATGTATGTGGATTTATACTGTTATGCTCACCACTTTTGGATTGAAACAAACAGTTTTGAAAGAGCAAATGATTGGAAAAGCGTAAGGAAAAATGGTAAGAGTGGCTCATCAGGCCTTGTTATATACAAATAATACTATCTTTACTAGTTTTATGGATGGATGAGTTTGTCATGCTCGACGGGTATCGCTGAACATTACTAACGATGAGTGTCGTTTAGTACTATTAATTTAATTTAAAATTTTAAAATTCTAAAGGGCTCAACGTATAATTATAAATTAGTTAAAAATTAAAGGTAAATTATTTAAAATAAAATATTAACTATATTATTTTCAATAATGTTTTGGGTAAACCATAACCATTGACCACCTAACTATTTAGCCTTTTTATTTTTATCACTTATCTTTTAATTTTGTCAATCAACCACCTAACTATTTAATTATATTGAATCAAGTCACTTCCCGTTAATATTTAACAGAAGTGCTGATATGGTAGTTAATCAAACTAGTATAATTCTAAATTTAGTCCTCAATATTTATACAATTTTATAAAATATATTTTTTAAAATTTTAATATATATTTTAGTAAATTCGTCCAAAATCCTATAATTAATTATAATATAAAATATATATTAAACTAAATAAATTAAAGTTTAAAAATATAAAAATCTTAAATTCATTTATATTTTCTGTCATTAATTAAAATATATATATATATATATATATATATATATATATGTATATATAATAAATGTTATAATTTATTATTGAATATATATATATTAATTTATTTTTATCCTGCCATAAAAGTTACCAGAATATATATATTATTTTGAAAAGTTGTCTAATTGTTGGGCTTGGATTGATGGTAAGGATGCAAATATCCATCCCATTGGACATGAGTTCGATCCCTATTTGCATTGCATATTTTTAGTATTATTTTGAATCATTTTAAACCAATCAAGGAGGACACATGTCACAATATGATTGGAGTATGTAATATAATTAAGTGTTGATCTGATTGAGAGATTAAATTTATTGAATTAATTAAAATTATGACTAAATTGATAAAATGCATAAATATTGATGATTGAGGATACACGTCACCATATGATTGGAGTATATAATCTAATTAAGTGTTGATCTGATTGAGAGATTAAATTTATTGAATTAATTTAAAATTATGATTAAATTGATAAAATGCATAAATATTGATGATTGAATATAAAATTATACCAATTTTATTAACAGTCACATCAACACTTCCGTTAAATATTAACGACAAGTGACTTGATTGAATATAATTCAATAGTTAGGTGGTCTGATTGACAAAATTGAAAGATCGGTGATAAATGTAAAATGGCTAAATAGTTAGGTGGTCAATGACATAGTTTACTCAAAAAATTATGGAAAATAATATAATTAATATTTTATTTTAAATAATTCACTTTTAAATTTTTAACTAATTTATAATTATACGTTGAGTCATTTAGAATTTTAATTTTTTATAAATTAAATTAATGATACTCAATGATACTTGTGACGCCCCTAATTCCGAGTTATGAGTTTTGGGTTTATCAAATCGGGCCTTAGGATGAATTTCCCTAGTTTGTGCAAAGCTTGACCCAAGTGGCTTCTAGTTTGGGCTTAGAATGAGCTCAATAAGGATTAAAAAGGGTGTTTTTAAGCATGAACCAAATGAGGAGGGACTAATTGAGTAATTAGCCCATTTATTCAAAACATTGAATTCCCATTAGTTGGGATGATATCTAGTCTATTTTTCTTCACCAAAGTTGTCTTCTTTCTCGTTCTTTGTCATTTTCTTCCTCTCCAAACACCCAACAAAGGTTGAAGCTTTAAAAATCTTAAGCATTCTTTGTGAATTCTAAGATAAGAACCACATTCTACATCTTCCAAGCTATCATTCAAGCCCTCATTTTGCATGGTTTAACTTAATTATCCAAAAAAGGGTTTTAGTTGGGGTTTATGGAACCTTAAGTTCTAGCTCGTTTGTGAGATTTGAGTTGTAAGAAAATGTTTCTAGCTTCATCATAACAACTTGTTTTTATGGTTTTGATTAATGAAAGACTAAGGAGATAGCTCAAAGGCAAGGGGTAAGGAAAAACTAGTCCTTGGGTGATTTGGGGACGTTTTCAAGCAACCTAACATCAAGGTAATAAGTTTTCTAACATGTTCATACCACATGTAGATCATTAAATGTGTATAAATGGTTTGCTTAGCTCACGAAAGCATGAAAGAGTAAATACATGGTATATTCTGTATTTGATGTTTGTAAGTATGAAAGGTGGCTCCTTTTAACCTCTAAGACCCTAAATAAGACTTTAATAACATTTGGTAGTCTTGGAAGAGTAAATGTATGAGTTGGGGATGCAATTTCATGCCCAAAACATGATACCTCATCTCGTCAGTGTCGGTACTGGAAGAACAATACTAATATTGTTCTTCGTGTACTATAAAAACAATGGTAAATTATGAGGGTAATATCGATACTCTTTCAAAGAGTATCGATACTCATGGTTCGATCTCGATACTAAAGGGGTAGTATCGATACCAAAAGTAATTTAAGGATTCCATTAGCCATTTTTGGTATCGATACTCGTGGGAGTATCGATACCGAGGGTAGAGTATCGATACTCCCTATAAGGGTATCGATACCGAGGTGTTTTTTTTTAAACATCGAATATATTTTTAGTATTGATACTCAGGGTGAGTATCGATACCCAAGGGTCAATATCAATACTGTTGACAGAGTATCGATACCCTTGTTATGATTTTGGATAGTTTGGTTCATTTGGTTTGGGGGTTGTGTTTTGAAATCAAATAAACTTTAAGTACTCAATGCAAGTGAAAACAATCAAGTTAACTGAAATCTCACCTAAAAATCAAGCAAGTTAGGATAACATAAGATTTGTCTTTGGATGACGCTCGGGAAACAGTCTGGACAATCGAGTTACTCTAGCATTATGACGATCGTCCTCTATTTGTGAAATATCCGGATATTGTTTAACCAAGTACATATCTGATGCACGTAAAATTCCTGATCGTGCCCCAATGCTCGAATATATTTGGGACGTGAGGTTTCGATGCATGTAAAATTTTGGTCCTTACGCCGAACTCTCGGGTATCCGAGATAGACTAGTGTTGTAAGTTCCGATGCACGTAAAATTTCGGTTCTTACCCCGAAGCTATCACGTCCTTGATAGGTTGGTATGTTTTCCGAGATGCACGTAAAATTCCTCCGACCATATCACCGGGCCTATCTCATGTTTATTAATGTACTTTCGCATATTCATGACTTTACGCATCAGCATGTTCATATAATGAATGCATGTAGTATTACATAGTTATTTTTGTGCCACTGAGCTTGCAAGCTCAGCGTATAGAATGTGTTTCCGTACACATGTCAGTAGAGGATCGACAAAGATCCTATTGTACCAGTACATTCTAGACCAGCCGTATTAGAGTATGTCTTGAGTCTATTATAGGGAATGTATTTATATGGACCTTGTATTTATTCGAGTCATAACTCTAATTTGATTTAAAACTTAATGATTGTATTTGTATGTATTTGGGAGACTCACGTATTTTGTAGACTTTGATTATGATTTCATTTATGATATGATAAATGATTTTGGCGTTTTATAAACGTTTTCAAAAGAAATTTTCAGGTTGGCCGTTTCAGTGGTTCCGTGTGGCATCGTAATCTATGAATTTTTGAGTTGGACTGAATTAAAGTGTTCGTCGAACGTAATATAATTTTCCTCTCTGAATTGCATTTAAGGTGTGATTTTGTCTATGCTTCTTTCATTCATTATCTGCGAGATTTGAATCTGGCTGATGGCTCAGTTTTCATTTTTTTTTTCCTCCTCTTTCATTATTACTGAGTAAATGATAATTAATTTAATTATTTTTTCAAGGAATAATTAAAATCAATTAGTAAACGTGTTTTAAACTTCTTTTTATTTACGCTACAGAATTAAAAAATAGTAACAACCTTCCACTTGCTGCAGTGCGTCACATGATTTCTTGGTCATGGGTGGCACGAGTTACATGATTTATTATTTTACCAATAAATAAATGTTCAAATGAATTTATAAGGGAAATTTTATTTCATTATATTGTTTTATGTAAAGAGTATTTAAAATAATATAAATAATATATTAACAAGATTAAAATCATGTTTAAAAAAATAAATATAAATACTTAGTCTTGTCAAAGAATATAATTATTTTTAATATTTGAATTAACAAAGATGTAAGTTCAGAGATTATAAAATTGGTAGTTTACTAAATTAAGAGCATTGTTATCAATTTATCAGTATTTAGTTATTTTTAAATATATAAAATATAAAAATATTATTAATAATTAAATAGACTTTTATTCCACAGGCTAAGTTATTATTATTTAATAAATAGAAGGCACTTCAGTCCCTAATTGAAGGAAATGTTCTCTGAATTTCTCTCTGAACGTTTCCTTTTTTGGATTTCTCTTCCAACGCCAGTGCTCTTCTCCAAGCAACGAAAAAGAAATTCTTTGGACATCACAAAATTTACTCTCGTGGATTTTCAATGCACGGTGATTACACAATGGTTTATTATTTTCAAATCAGCGTGTCTGGGTTTCTGTTTGGCAATTTCATATTTTCATTTAATTCAAGAATCC